CTCTTCGGCGCCTTATTTAGTATTGAAAGGTTCATTCGCCGTGTTCACAAGGACCTATCCCGAGCAATTTGAAACTTATACCCTTCAACTTTTAATAGCTGTTTTAATCTAAACAGAATATTCCGTCTACGTTTAGATCTACCAAGTAACTCTCCCTTTCATGCTGTAAAAGTAGAATTATTATCAACGCAAACCAACCTCATCGAATTAAATCCCAATCCGGTCTCGAATTGAGTGAAGATGACGTCGAGGGGTTGAGGCAAGACAAACACATCGTAGGGGGAGGAAGGGGGAGGGGAGGATGAGTTCCACGTCTCCGTGTGATGTATAATCGCTCAGTTCCGGCACTGAATGCATGACGTCATCAAGTATGCATGAGTTTGCCCCTGTTTACAAACAGTCCCCCCCGCCGTTGCCGCATAACGGTTCTACGTTTAAATCGGATATAATTCCATCTTCTTCACTGACGGAGTAGACAAATTATTCAAACAATGTTTTATCGTCAGAATGCGATGCCGCAGCAACCCAGAAGCGGTTTCCAGCCTTTCGGTTGCCAGAGGAACCCCGTAACGTCATGTCAGCCTCTCGGACCCAAAATTCTATATTCTGAAGCACACAGGAGTAGTAAGTAGACACGCAGCAATTAACGAGATCCTTGAAGCAGAGGTCATAAGAAGACGGGGATTGCGTCCAGCCACTCAAAGAACTTCCTCCCTTTCATGCGACCTGAAGGTTCTTTACCGTGACCTCAGCGGGCAGAATGCTCACATCCCCACAGCCTGAATTATAGCGCCAGAGCCCAAGAAGCAAATGAAGCTACAAGAACCCACGAAGCCGTATGGCGGAATGGAGGCATAGCTCCATAACTCTTAACCCCGGGTACTAGATGGAGGTGAGTGATCAGCTTCACGCTCCGGTCGCTTTCCCCGCTGCGAAAGAGCTCCCGGTACCCATTGGATAGGAGGCTGGTGAGCCCCAGAACCTGTCTGGACGTTATGGAGTTGAGATTTTTTTTGCAGCTACTGGGAATCGAACTCCAGCCCGTAATCTAGTCGTTATACAGACTGAGCTATCCCGGCTCGTTATAAATCACTGTACTGAATACTTTTTTTTTACGAATTTTGGGGTTAACGTGGATTTTCTGTGATATTTAGCCTCAAACCCCTGGAACGAAATTGGCTGTCCCTTACGTCAGTCTAATACGAGTACACAATGTCCTTTAGAGTTATGAATCAGATAACGTCCGTGAATGTGGTTTGACATAGATACTAAAAGTATTTCAAAGGGAAAGCTCCTCTGATGTCAGAAGCTGATAATGTTTTCGGTTTGGTCTATACGATTTAAAATGTAAATCAACTTAGGTTGCAAGTTAGAGCAGCTTTTCATTGCCAATTTATTTAATGAGTTCAATTGCTGCTCATTTCGCAACTCACAGAACTGACTGTGAGAGCAGTCTACCTAAAAGGAGTCATCACAGATAGAAGAGCAACAAATCTAAACAATTTTTTTTTCCATTGCCGCTACAGCCCTCATTTGGGCCTAGGCCTACCTCCATGAAACTCTCCGTTTCACTTCGGTTTACTAGATCTTAGACATATGGTAGGACTCCTTGGACGGGTGATCAGCTCGTCGCAAGGCGTCTACCTGTACACAAACATGGAAAAACGCACGCAAATATCCATGCCCTGAGTGGGATTCGAACCCACGATCCCGGCTTCCGAGCGAGTAAAGACAGTGCATGCCATAGACCGCTCGGCTACCGTGACCGGCCCTAAACAAATGTACCTTGCAAAATCATAAGGTTAGCTCAGTGGTTCGTTCACTGCTTCTCTCTAGATGTAACTCAAGGCTGTAATCACATTACATTTAGTTTCGGGGATCAGCAGCAACAAGCTTTTTGTTTCATCTAAAATATCTCACACAAATACTTCTCCATATGTCAATAAGCAAAAGTATATCAGTTCTTCGTCCGGTGTACGGGAGCTTTCGCTGTAAATACCAGAGTGTTCAGTCGCTATAACTTTAAACAAGAAATATCACTTAAATCGATAAATTAGAGGTCGCTTTCATGCAATTAAAAGGAAACACTTGGAATGAGGTTTCGAATCGCACCCCCCAAAAAAAAACTCTACCTCAACACTTGCACATCGCTTTAACTGTCGTGGTTACCGTACATACTGGTAAGAGTACGGAGCAAATTTCATAGTACCTTTTAGTGTTCTCTGTTCACAGTCCCCACGCGGTCTAAGGCAAATGTCTTCGAATGCCGGGACTTTTTTTTTTCTTCGGGTGGGGTGAGACCGAGTCCACCTAGTACGTCGGCCACTGTTTGGCCTACTGTACCAGCCCGGATGATTCGCGATGAACGTGGAGTGAGAATTTTCAGGAGAAACCGAAGCACTCGGACAAGACCTGCCACAGTCCCATTTTGTCCACCGCAAATCCCACGTGACCTGACCAGGGCTTGAACACAAACGCTGCGGCGGGAAGCTGGCGACTAACAGCCTGAACTATGACACAGTGTATGCCAGGATCGCGGGATTGAATCCCACTCAAATCATGGATGCTTCCGTTTTCTTTTATGTGTGTTTGTGTTGTCCTATGTGGGTAACGACCTTGCGACAGGGTTGATCCCCGTCCAAGGAGTCCTACCGACTGTTTGTAAGATTCATAGTTTCAGATTAATTCTGAAATGGGAGAACATGCCAAATGAAGACAATATAATTACATATTTATTAACGGGTTATGCCTATTTAGCAGCGATCTCAGTAGACGAAACTGCGCCAATACAGCGTAAACTTACTGAATAATGAACTGAAGGGACGCGGAAGAATACATTACTGGCATAACTTGAACAGGCCAAATGAAGACAATATACCGTATTTACGCATGTATAGGCCGCACATTTTTTGCCAAAAATTCAAGAGGAAAACTGGGGTGCGGCTTATATTCGAAATATTCGAAATCACACTTCATTTAATCGTATTCATTTCGGAATAATTTCTACTCCTGAAATAATATTCCAAGAAAATTATTTTTTCTATAATTTCTGTCTGAAAATTGTGCTGCGGCCTATACACGCACGCGGCCTATACATGCGTAAATACGTAATTACTCAATTATTAACGGGTTATGACTATTTAGCAGCGATCTCAGTAGACGAGACTGCGCCAATACAGCGTACACTTACTGAATAATGAACTGAAAGGACGCGGAAGGATACTTTAGTGGCATAACTTGAGGTAATATCCCCGGACTGGGAAACCCAAGAAAATCTTCAATCCGGAGATAAATTTTCGGGTCCGAGATTTGAACCTACGACCTCCCGAATACAAATGCTAACCATTCAACCAGGACAATCGGCTAGAAATGCATAAACATTCATGTAAAAGGCAAGTATATAATACAATTTTGTCTACATGTGGAATTAAAAAAATTCGGTGTAGGTGCATAGAATCAAAATTTCGTCAAAATCGCTATAAATTCAGAAATTTTAACAGATGTGATTATTAAAAAAACGTGGTTTTCCGAGCTGTGACACCGCCTAGTTCTCGTGGACGGATGTCGACGTTTCGGATTGTTTTATGTCTTCAGGCTTGAAGTTATCCGTTTAATAGATTCGGAGATAATGCGAAATTCCACCTCTTTGTTTAGCGGCAATTTCGCGAACTACCTTCATATAGCCCACAGAAAACGTCAACAGAATGGGAAATGCCTTACTAGACACAGCTCTGTAGCGTAAAAAAAAATCACTGGACAACGCGAGTTACGTAAAATTAATTCAATTGCAAAAGCAAACAAGAGACTGCAGCTTCGAACTAGATTTCCGTCAGCGGCGCAGTAAGTTTCTCCTAAAGCCTTATCATCCGCCCACCAGAATGACTGAGATTATGAGTGTGTGTGTATAACAGAGCACGTGGCTGCAGAACGATAGGTACACTCCATTCAGTGAAACTGTCAATGCATTCCGGACGCAGAATCCAATTTATTTTTTAGCTTATAAAATCGTCATAATGGGTTTCAATTAATAAGGCCGCTTCTGAAATTCAATTTCCTACAGCTTCTGTAACAATATTTAAACGATCCTTCGAAAACTGTCTGTCTGGAAAATTACTGCTGGCCTTCAATTTATGACATTCATATGAAGATTATCATTATGCAGTTTCCTCCATCCGTCTTTCACTTCCAGGAGCCAAGATATTTCAGCTGGTGCAGCGATAGGTTAGGGACTAGACCGGGGTTCGATTACCGACAGGGGTAAGAGGGTTTTCTCTACTCCACTGCGTCCAGACAGGGGCTCACCCAACCTCCTATTCAATGGGAAACTGCGTACAACACTCGGGAGGTACTCTCTTCGAATTTCAACCGGGAACTCCGGTTATTTTGAATGAGATTTTCCTTGCTTTTCTTCAGGCCTTCCAGGAAAATACCGAGGTAGTATCTCGTTTAGTCCAGAACAGCATCCTTCCAAATCTTTTCCAATTCACCATTCATCAATCATACTGGCATTCAACGTTATATAGTCCTATACTATAGGGTTCGATTCCAGGCAGAGGCAAGTGATTATTCTCTTCTCCAAAGCGTCCAGTGGGTCTCTGGGGCCCGCTCAGTTTCCTAGTGAATGGGTGTCGCGGGTAAAGAGGCCGGGGCGTAAAGCTGACCACTCACCTACATCTAATACCGACATCATGAATGGTGGCGCCCTATCTCTGTTCCCTAACACGACTTCATGACGCGGTGTTTAATTAATTCAGCGATGAGATAAGTTTAACTATTACTGAGAGCATCGTAAAATGACTCTCTAATGTAAGAGTGGAATCAACTGGCTCAAGATAGGGTGGCGAACTCTTGTGAACACGGTGATGTAAGTTCGACGTGCATAACAGGCCAAGGGTTTGTTGACTATTCAATCTGTTGCGAGTATCGTCATAAGAGGCCTGCTCCACGGATCTTACACAGTGTAGTTTGACACGCCAGCTTTTCATGACGTCATGACTCACCTGTCTATGCTGATCGCGACAAGGTTAAAGATGGAGGAGGTACTGCAAGTCACGTCCATGGCGATGTAGAAATCACACACGAAACTGGGAAGCCCCCAAGTCCCGTTCACCTGCAACAAAAACAAAAAACATATTTTTATTTGGGTGTTTTTTTTTTTTTTTTTTTTTTTNTGTTCTCGAACTAGAAGTAGTGCCGTGTGGGGAGGAACACGTGCATTTCCAATTACCACTAAGTGATACGGACAATAAACCTCCGCCAGTTCCATCTAGCGGACAGAGATAGAAGTTGCAGCTCTGAATTATAGCCATAGTACAACCTATTAGGAATTAGACTCTGATTCGAATGCTAAGGTTCAAGGCTTTAATACCTCAAAGGTCATTTCTAGACGAGCTTACAAGCGAACAGAGTTCCTAACAAATTCGTAATGTTCGTCAGTCTGTCTCTAAGCATTAACCAACTCGAAAACCGTTGAAGGCAATTTAATGAAATTTGATACTGGAGAAATTGACTACCATTTGCAAGATTCTCACAGCAGTGGCTATTAAGAGTTCTAACATCTAGTATATAAAACACTGCGCAGCTAGTCGAAAGTCAATCGACGCTTCGAGGGAACATGTTACCTCCATCTTCAGGAACGTATCGCCTCCAAATTCAAGGTAGAAAATCAGCAAGCGAAGAACCAGCTTGAGCATGTGATGGAAGCCACCTGTTCACGCTGGTTTCTCGCTCGCGGATTTTCTACCTTGAAGATGGAGGCGATACGTCCCTCTGAAACGTCGGTTCACGCAAGATCTACACGGCGCCACGTCCAAGAAGACGGCGTTATTTATAGACGCCGCTGTGAAAGCCTCAGATCTTACAAGTATGTTTAACATCAGACAACAACGCACACTTTACACGAAGACCTACGCGTATTTCTGCTCGCATTTCGAACGTAACCCGATAAACATTTGCTGGAGCGAAAATAGTTGCCACGAAATTTGTAGGAAAATATTATATGTCCAGTACACGTTTACCGTAAGTCCTGCTCTTTTAGAGATAATTACACAAAGGTGAGCTAACTTGTGACGCTCTGCCTATATTTTCAGACTCCACAAGAACCTGGATAGCTCAGCAAGTGCAGTCTGGAGAGCGTTAACGTGGGGTTCGATTCCTGGCAGAGAACTTTTCCTCCACAGCATTAAGATCGGCTCTGGGCCCACACAGTCTCCTACCCAATTAGGTACTGGAACTCTTTTGTGTGTGGTAAAACAGCCGGGGCGTGAAGCTAACCACTCACCTCCACCTAGTGCCGAGGTTAAGAAAATGTCGGTTATTTCTCGATGCTTTTAACACGCCGATCATTTCGCATCTAACAACAGGATGACTGATGAATTGGAATGGATTTGGAAGGAACAGACTGTAACGTAATTGAGGCACGGTTTGGAGGGACTGAGAAAATCCTGAAACTTCCACTTTCCTCCCCCCCAGAATGGTCAGTGTCCTATCCGAGATTCGAACCAAACTACTTCAGAATGCAAACCTACAGTATTACCTAGACTAGTCTGCTCGGTAAGAATCCGTGGAGCTATACTGCCACTCCACCATACGTTACGTGGAGGTGTTTAATTAAACAAGGACAGCTCTTTACCTTTCTACCAACTCCTGTGGGTAGGTGAAAATGGTGAAGGTACAACAAACTCTGGGAAGCCTGCACATAGGAAAACCACGACACATTTTCATTCAACACATCCGAAGAGCCTAACCGAGATTCGAACTGTGTTAGGGGTGAATACCACAGTGGCTGAAGGAGTGGGAGACTGAACGTGATAGTTCAGGTTTTGGAATTCATTCGATTGCAGGAAAACTGCCAAAGAGGACCGCGCTGAACATTTTCCGGCAAAGAATTTTCTAATTTAAATTCTCTGCCAGATGTACGGGTGAGGTACCATGGTTCATTTCTCTGCAGCCAGTCTGACATTTGTTTTAAGCCTGAATAAACCCCAAAATATCGTTTGTACAGCAACTGAACTCAGAAACGTGTGATCAGCCATCTGTTATGCTTTCATTCCAACTGGACGTCACGGTCGTGTGGCTGTCACGCTTGCTTTTTTATTCAAGAAGCCATGGATTCAAATCTTGGATAAGACACAAACTATCCTGAAGTTCTTCGTGGTTTTCTTCGGTCATTCCAGGAAGATATAGCGACAGTGTCTCAAATTACGTCACGAACACTTCCAGATTCATTCCAGTGTCATTACATAAAGCTTCTACTTACGTAATTTTCTCCAGTACTCGCAATAGGTAGCACGATATTCCTTCCTTATGATGGGAGGCTAAGTTTAGCTTACACCCGAAAAAAGAAATGTAACCTTTACAATTATTAGCATATTGATAATAGTGTCACATGTATGAGTGACTACAGACGGGGTTAGGATTGGTTATCGGATTTACTGACCGCTTACAGAACGTAACTACAAATAACTACGACAGTCTCACTCAATTACACACGCCGAAGGCCACTTTACTACAGCATAAAGCCTTCTCAGTCTTCACTAGCCGTTGCTTGGTAGCGGCTTTCAACGGCGGACGTTCCCCTTCCTCTGGGTTTCCGAAATGTCGCCAGTCTCAACTACCAGCTTCTCACTCAAAGTCAAAGTAACAGTCACATTGCGACTGGCGGTCAATCAGTCAGTAAGACATGGTGTTGAGCCTCATCTGGGACTCATGACCAGACATTTATTACTGTTTTGACACTTAAGGTCTTAGTTTTATGGGGGGGACCTTCTCTGACGAGAGGACGGGTCTGTCTTTTGTATATGCTGCTGGCCCTAGCCAGCGCAGTCTTTCTCGGGTCCGAGTCCCTTGGGACTCGCGACCATATTTTACTGTCTCAGATAAGAGACTTTCCTTTTCGTCGCCTCCTACGACTGGCAGGGTCACGGTGGAAATATTCGACCCTTCTTCCACACGGGTTAGTTTCTCACTTCTCACAACTGCAAGTTATTTAGCCCTAGCACGGACCGCACAGAAAAGTCTCTTCCATTATTGGGTGTTCTCTCGTTGCCGGGGAAACAACGTGTCCACAGAGATGTTCCCTGTTGTACTGTCGCCTGTTTACACAGCTGTTACTTGGCAATAGATCTACATGTCATAATATAATCAGCTGCTGTTCTAGTTATCACTCTTAAGAGCTGCCTTAATATGCACAAACAGTGTTCCACTTTACTAGAAAAGTGATGATCTGTTCTCTACGTAGTTCTGAGTAAAATTGGATTTATTGGTATTACGTCTACTGCGAATAAAATGTTCGATAAATTACAGCTCTCTCGAAGTGAAAATAAATTGATGGATGTAGGGATTTAGTATAACAAATTTATATTAAAAATTCTTTAATGGATCTTGAGATTCTAGAAAAGAAACTCCAGTTTTATCACCAACATGCTCGTAGTTCGAACCCAATATGCATTTAATTTCATTAAATAAGTACAGTCAATAAAGATAGATATTGCAGAAGGCCATGCATCCATGGGATTTCTGATTGCACCGAAATGAGGAAATAGACGGAAAGTGCTGATATCTGTCGGAATTCAATGGAACTACTGACAGATGACTGTCGTACTGCAACTTCTCATCTTCAGGAACGGGTGGAGAGTAAAGGGGCTCACATTCAGAATTCCTCTTCTCCCAATTGAACGCTATATTTGGTGAAAGTTTATATTAGAAAGCAGAAGGAGATGGAAAGTGTAAGATCAGCAATACGATGCAGGGGCCCCGCGGCGTGGGGGGATAGTTCTTCAGAAGACGACTCTATTTAATCTAGACCCCTCGACAATAATCCCTTGGGGGTGGCGCACATGAGGGTGCAAAGGGAGTCATAGAAGAGAGAGGAAAACGTGATCTTAGGTTTTGATTTCATGGAATTGGTTATCTTACTGGAAACCAATTCGTTATTGGTCAGTTATTATACCAGCAAGCTTCCTGTACAGTTACCTATATAGACGCAGCATTCATGACGTCATTATTGTTGACGGAATGTTCTAGGACTAAGTCAAACGATGGGAAATAAATTGGGTCCCGTGGTCTCTATGAAATAAGAAAGCCGTGCAGAGTTCATAACGGACAATTTGTAGGGAGAAGCCAGCCTGAAGTGTAATAGACATTTAGATTTGAACCCAAGATCTTCTGGGGGCACGCGGTAGCGTAGTTGGTTGAGGCACTATGCTACAAGCCGGAAGGTCGCGGGTTCAAGTCCCGATTAGGTCATTGGGTTTTTTCAATTGACCTAATCCTTCCAGCCGCACTATGGCCCTGGTGTCGACTCAGCCTCTAACAGAAATGAGTACCAGGAATATTCTTGGGGGTAAGGCTGACAACCTTACCGCCATCTATGAGCCGATTGTCTAGAAAATGTGGGAGCCTCGACGTCTCAGAACCCTACGGGCTTCCACGGCCTGTTACAGGGATAGCTTCACATACTTCTTTTACCCAAGATCTGATATTAACTCACTTGTTCAGATTCCACGAATCAGGGCCCGTAAACCAGTTCCAACTCAGATTTAATCCTGAAGGCAGAATCCCTAGACATTTATTGGATCATGTTGGATTTTCAGTTTCCCACACCGGTGGCTATTAGGCTATTAGGAATACTATCTCCTGAGATGTGACAGCTCTCTTGTCGCCTATTTCTTGCTTGACTTAATCCTCGACCCTGAAGACGGAGGCAGAACATTTCACCGAAACGTCGGAGGACTTATATCTGCATATAGATCAATATTTCGCAAGGCGACACAGGTTATCCTTCATAAAGGAGAAAGCGAGGTAAGTAATGGGTAAGCAGGCCGACCTTGACCTTTCTACTGTTCATTTAAGGACACATCGCGCTTCAGTGTGTCGAGGGTAACAGTGAGAATCCTGCCGAAGTTTTCAGCTTGCGTGCCACATACACGCAGGCGGACCTTGGTCAATTACCAGGCCTTCTCATCGTTAGAGGATAGTACGAGTACATGCCATAAGTAATACTGCAACCCCTTACGTACGAGCAACCACTGCGATCGGCGGAAAACTGGCGCCAAACTTTTATTTAAAAAAATACACAATAAGCAGTTTCATTCCGGTCTAGAAAACCGT